CAGCTTGCTACGGGGCTGCGATTGCCTTTCCATCCCCTCTTTGTCGAGGTCTTGAATCACTTCGGCGTTACGGTCGGCCAGCTTCACCCGAACTCCATTCGKAAYTTGGTGGGGACAATCTYCYTATTTWGCGARYAGGGCTTTCCTTTAGACTTGGAGATCTTCTCTTCCATCTTAATACTTAAGAAGCAAGCGGGTCTCCTCCCCGGGCGTAGGCGGGCGTATTACCTGTCTCCTCTCCCGGGTTTTAAGCTTTTACATGATCTTCCTAACAAAGTCCCGACATGGAAGCAAGACTACTTTGGGGTGCGAAGTGTGCTGGGGTGGCCGTTTTAGACCGGGTGGGGGGTGGCCGCCCCTGACTCCGGTGTTACGCTTGACAAAGAGACGGTGAAGGGCCTCCAGCAATGGGCGCGGCTTGGGCTAAAGTGCCAACAGTATCTGACGGAGGCCAAGCTCATTGCGGCCGGCCTGAGTTCGGGTAGGTTCCTTACTCGGAGGTTCTATTTTGCTATGTTTGGCTTTTTTCTGATGCCGAACTCTTTTTTGCGGGTGTGATGGACTCAGGAAGGACTCGTGGTGGGCACTCGTTTCAAGGCATGAAGAGGAGGAAGCGAGTCGCCAAGCGAACTCATGCCGAGCTGCCCCGGGATGCGGAGCCCGAGGTACTGGACTACCCGTCAGGGGATCCGCCCAGGGAGCCCGAGATGGCTCCTCCAATGCAAGAATCGGCAGGGGGCCCGTATGTTGAGACTACTTACACGGGGGCTCCCACCTACTCTGGTGCTCCTACTTACTCTGGGTCTACTCATACACGAGATGTGCCCTCAGGCTCGGGGGTCCCAGGGGAATTCAGGAGTGTGCTGTCGCCGACCTACGCTCTTCAGAAGAGTAAGGAGGCCATTTTCCCCGAGGAGGTCGCGGCGTGGACTGATCTCCCTCTGCACCAGGTGGCCTGCCGTGCTGTTACTCATGCCATGGTGGTAAGTCAGACTTTTTATCGAGCTCTTTTGCTTTTATCCTTCTTGCTGTCGTTCTTTTGATCACTCGTTCTTTTTGGTAGGTGAACTCTTTTATCCATGCCTTGGCGGCCCAGGTGGAAAGGAGCTCGAGACAGGCGCGAGCTGCTGAAGAGGCTCTTCATGCTGTCGAGATGACTTCCCGAGCTGCTGAGGCGGCTTCCCGAACTGCTGAGGCGGCTGCTCGTGCTGCAGAGGCCAGGCAGGCGAGGTCTCAGAGAGATGCCGAGGCCATGGGAGTCGTAGTGAAGCTCATGGCGGACCTGAGGCTGGATTTGCAGCATCAGGTCAA